TACAAAAGTAATATCTTCTATGGTAGTTGTCTGGTGTTTTTCATATCATCTCCTCTTTCACCAAATCAAAGAATTCATCCAATATAATTTTCATTAGCTACATTGTGGTGTATGTTTTGTCCTTTTTAATTTCTTACAATTTTAATATTAATCGAATCTCACCTAATACTTTCTTATAGAAAATATTGCTTGTGTATATCCCGTTGCATCAATCTAATTGTTTAGTCATGACATGTAATTCTTTTCTTGGCATATATATTCCTCTAGATAGTGCAATGTATAGTTTGTCATACGAGAAAGTATGTTGTGGTAGTATACTCCTACATTTGGTATCATTTGACTTTTAGATTTCTTAATCATCATGCAAAAACATAGATGTATTGGAAATTGTGTCTAAATAAATTTGAAAGTATATCATTCATTTTCACTAAGGGGAGGGTGGTGGTAGTGATAGTTGTATTTTTGGAGTAAAAATCAGGTTTCTGGCATATTGACCTGTTATTTTTATTCATATATGGCGTTCTCGTCAAAGCCTCTACAAATCAACCATGTCCCATTGCATAAGCCATTTGAGGGGTTCAATTTTCTAAGCTGCATGATGAGTGCATTTTCTTTCAAACAAACCTAATGTATAGAATTAAAAGAATCATCAATTGTTATGTATATGTAATTGTATAATTCTTTTATTCTCTTTTGTGTTACGAAGTACGATGATGAGATAAATTAGACAACGTACCTATGCAACAAAGTCCATTGGGCGTTAAGGTGTTTAGATATAAATGTAAATCATATCTTTACTGAGGTCAATTCTATGTAGTCTTTTACGGTGCAGCCTAATATACATTTAGTCGCTCTAAATAGTATAACTCGAGTATGTTGTTCTCCACCACAAACTTCAAGTCGTAAGCAGTATCAGCTTAAAAAGGGGAAGGGGTTGTTATAGTTGTGTTGTTGAAGTAAACATTTGGTTTGTAGCATATTGACCTGTTATTTTTTTTTGCATCTAGGACATTCTCGTCAAAGCCTTTACAAATCAACTATGTCCCATTACATAAGCCATTGGTAGGGTCCAATTTTTTTAGTAGTATGATAGGTGCATTTTCTTTCAAAACTAACCTAATGTGTAAAATTAAAAGAATCATAAAATATTATGTATATGTTATCGTGTAATTTTTTTCTTCACTTAAGTGCTATGAAGTATCACAATAAGATACTGTAAATGTTAGGATGAATTAAACAACTTACCCATGCAGCGGAGTCCATTAGGTGTTTAGGTTTAAATACAGTTCATATATTTATTATGGTTTATTTTATATAGTCTTGCACGTTGTATCCTCGTATATATTTATTCACATTAAATAGTATAACTCGTGCACATTGTTCTCCACCATGCACTTCAAGTCGTAAGCAATATCAGTTTAAAAATGGGAGTCATTTAAAGTTAAAGTAATTTATTCTCTAATTATTTCTTTCATAAACTCCACAGGTTGTCCATGGATTAGAGGGGCTTTCCATTGTATATAAATACACTTTCATATCCTACTCTGCAAATCATACTTTCGTTAAACATATAGATACCTCTGATTCCAATTTGCATATGTTGCTGCTTTTGTGAATTTAGTGATCATGGTTGGCTCACATGATCTATCAGCTGAGTAGTAAGCTTCCTTGGAATAATTATCAATATCTCATTCTATCAAAATGAGATTAGGAGGGCGCCTTTATTAAAGAGTCACCCTTGTAGAATCGAATTTTTAGTGAGTCTAGCCCCATTTCATATTTTACATTCTCATCTTTATTCACTATGTTTGAACTTTCACAAACAATCATGCACATCGTCAATATACCATATTTGTGATTATATATATATAATAAAAATTAAACTAATACAAACTCCAACTGGTGTTATTACAAGTCAAATGAATTTTTCTTCGTCTAAAATACTGAAATTTTAAGAAATCGTAAATAAGTAAAACAAAAGGGAGATATTTATACACTTATAACTATTTTGAAGCAAGTTTCCTGAGAGTCTAAATCACATAATTGATAAATAAAATCATTATTTTGTCTTGAGCATAAAAACCATATCGTCACAATTCTTTAAATTTTGAAAAAAATATTCAAAAGCATATAGCTACATCACAAGAGAAATTGTTAACAAAATCAAATGAATTTAGACTACATCATGCTAACTTCATAAATTGAAAAATTACATACTAATACATATATATTAAGCAAAAAAATAAGTATTATATCATAAAAATTATATTATTTTTCTCAAGTACTCGAGGTTATGGAATAAACCCTCTTTGGGTAGCACGACTTACTTCATCAGAATATTACCTCATATTTTGCTAAACTTTAAACTCACTCAACAACAATTAATCACAAAAAAAGATTAAATGCAACAAGAAGATTAGAAAAAAATGTGGCTGAGAAATGAGCGGAAGTCCCTCTATTTATAGATAAAAAAGGATAGAATAAACAAATACTTTTTGTTTCTTATCTCCAAAATCATTACTTTTCCAAGAAGTCACAACACTTTGGAAAAGTCACAACTCTTTGAAAAAGTAACAACTTATTACAAAAGTCACAACTCTTTGGAAAAACCACATCTTAAAGACAAAGTCACAACTCATTGAAAAAGTCACAACTTATTGAAAAAGTCACAACTCTTTAGAAAAGTCACAACTCATCGAAAAATCACAACCCTTTGTCACAACTTATCGAAAAAGTCATAAGTCATCGAAAAAGTCACAACCTATGTTAGGGATCATATAGTAATTTAACATTCAAGTTAGGAGTTCATGCTTTTAAGGTAATATAGAATAGATAGATAATAGTGCCGAAAAGGAAAGAGGTACCCAAGGACTGTTATCAATTATAAGTCTCTTAATAAGGTATCAAAATGAATTTGGTACCCCATACCTAAAAAATGTGATTTTCATAAAAGAACTTAGAAATATAATATTTATATTAAGTTTGACTTGAAGTCGAGATTTTGGCAAAAACAAATTGCCAAAAAAGACAAAAAACAAATTGCCAAAAAAAGACAAGTATAACACATCCTTAAATGTCCCTTTTGGACAATACGAATGAAATGTAAAGTCTTTCGGACTAACAAATACTCTGTCTATATTTCAAAACATCATTAATAGTATATTTAATCAATACAGTCATATTTCTATAGTTTACATTGATGACATATTGATATATCCCGAAGATATTAACCTAACACTTTAATTTGCTCAACACCTTTTTAAAGGTTGTTAACCAAAATGGTCATGTAGTAAGTGCTAAAAAAAATTAAACTATTCTAGACTTCCATTAGATTCATTGGCCATGATTATATCAAGGAACCTATAAACGCATTTGTAGAGCCATAGAGATCTTATCAAAACTTCCGGATAAATTAATAGATAAAACAAAGATATAGAGATTTTTAGAGAGTTTCAATTATGTTGTTGATTTTATTCCTAATATTAGACAGGTATGAAATCCTCCTTATCAGTGTCCTAAAGAGAATCCAGAGCCATGGGTATTAGAACACACTACTGAAGTCCAAAAAATAAAAGTAACAGTTTAAAAGCTTTCATGTCTAGGTTTATCACACTTGGAGGCTTTTGTGATTGCATAAACAGATGCTTCAGATATAGGATATGGAGGCATACTTAAACAAAATATTTATGTAGGATCCACTGAACAATTAGTGAGATTCACTTCAAAAGTTTAGAATGATACTCAAAAGAATTATAGTACTATTCAAAAGGAAATTTTGGCTATAGTACAATGTATTATCAAATTTCAAGATGATTTAATAAATAAAGAATTTTGTTACGAGTCTATTGCAAAGCAATCAAAGATGTTTTGAAAAAAAATGTTAAAATCTAGTTTCTAAACAAATATTTGCCAAATAGCAATCTTAATTATCTGACTTTGATTTTGAAATAAAATTTATAAAAGGAGAAAGTAATTCTCTCCCAAACTTTTTGACAAGAGAATTTTAACAGAAAAATAATGAGACCAGGATACAGCGAATCAAGTCCCCGAGGCTCCCGCTACACCCCTTCAAACCAGAAGATAAAATAAAAAACTCTTCAAAAAGGGTGATAAAAATAAGAGAATCACTACTCAATCCTGACAGAATTTAAATCCCTGCCAAAACCCAACTCCTTATCATTAAATAAACCCATGACTAGTAAACTAAATCCTCATGATGAACCCTCATCAACAGGTATTGTTGTTAAAAAAAAATAGAGTTATGAAATGCAGTCACTGGAAACATACCAATAAGTGGTGGTTCCAACTACCTCGAAGAAAAATAGGGAAAAAAATTACTCAGTCTGATAAAAAAGATTTTCTAATTACAGATTTATAGATACTGCCTATCATGGTGCTTGACAAGGAATATGAATGTTTTGGAGTGACTGACCTCCTAAAGTCATGTTACACCAATCGAAATTATATGAAATCGAGCCTCAACAAAAAAAAATAAAGGTATTATGAGTTTATATTAATAGCTACTGATTCGGTGAAAATTGAACATAAATTAGCAGATAACAATGATCCAAATAGTTTTTTATTTTTGAGATTCACAATTAAAAAGATATTATATTATTTCTAAAGGGATATCTTATATTATTAGTTGGTCCTTCGATATTCATGATTTGAATTGATTAAGTATCTGAGTAAGACTATCAAATCAAATTAAAGGATGGACTCTAAAAGATCACGATGACAAATTATTGTCGGCTCTTTATCACGAAGGAAATTGCGGCATTTCAAAAGAAGAATAAAAAAGAAGGCTTGAAGAAGCTCTATTAAATCTCGACAATAATAACAATCATGAAAAATTAATTGAGTTATTAGATATTGCATCCTCACATACCAATGAGAAAAGTAAGGAGGATATGTATCAACTTCAATAATGATATGAATGTGCCAAGCATATGTTAATATTTATTATGTCAAAAATTAAACAAACAGGTGAGCCCCGCAGGAACAAAACTCCATGCCAAAGTACCAAACAACAAGATATGTGCTTTTTCAGCAAATATATCTTCAAAAGAGAATAGACATGCAGTAAAGGCTATGAGTAAGAAGTTCAAGCCACGTGGCGTTTATTCAAAGTCACGTATAATTATTATTAGTTATGTGTAATACTTAGTAATTACGTGTGAAGAATTATGTGTATTAGTGTATGCACATATGTAAAATAGGTAGTACAATAAGTTAGCCTAATCAACATGTCTATTTAAGGTTTTCAACTTGTATCACTACAGAACATTCAAAATCTTACAACTTTGAAACCTCTCTACGCTTTGATCCCATCTTCCCGACTTTTTCATTCTCCCTTTCATGTTCTCTCTCCTTTCTCTACATCAAAAAAAAGTTTTGTAAGTACATATTTTCTCTACTTATTTTAAAAATTAATTTTATGTTTTAACATTTTAAAGTTAGTTTGTTTACTGCTTTTGTTCTTCTCTTTTTTTTTTAAGTTTTTCTTTCAAGTGTTTGCTTGTTCTTGCTCCCTTTTGTTACTATGCCCAATTTTTCTTAGGATTACGTTTCGGAACTCGATTCATTTCCTCCATTGGTATTAGAGTCAAGTTGACTAGGAAGAGTATGAGTAGGAGCGGCTACGTCACTACACTGTCCTTGGGCGGACAATGTCTAAACTTAGGTTACGGTTGGTTGATAAGTTCAGAGTTTGGTAGTTGTCCTTCTTCTTCTTCCACTTATGTTCTAGTTTTATTCCTTAAAGTGGGTAGCGGATAATTTTCTATTTAAACGTTGGCAAGCCTGTACTCTTCTTTTGGATTAGCTACACTGTGTGTGTCCTTGAGCCAGACCCGGAGGGTGTTACAATCGCCAGCCTAGAGGAATAAAATCAAAGAAAGTTAGTGAAAAAAGTAACAACAATTACTACCAAAGAATTCATTATTTCGATAGTAATTTTTAAAGTAGACAATTAAGCCCAAGGATAGTGTTTTTCTCCGAGGTAAGTAATTCCCTTGGTTTTGTCGAGTTTGTTAGAATATACCTTCATAAGATTCTGGTCAATATCCTGGTGCAACTATAAAAGGTTTAATTATTATATAAATATTAAGATGTAGCAATTGTTCGTGGAATATTATTAGGATTTTCACATAATCGACGTTTTGATTCTCTTTAGTATTTATTTGTTGCTTTATATTAACGATTTTGGAGAATACAACATCATATGATTTTGGTTGTAATCTGATGAGTCAAATAAGTTTTTTTTTTTTAATAAAATTGGTTAAATTGATTAAAGAGCCAAGTTACTATAAAATCATTAGTTAAGTGGTTTAATTGGTATGTTACATGCCGAATGTTAACAAATTTTATCAATAATTTCTTTTGGTGTGTGATATGGTGTACACATACCAACTTCAACTTAAATTTCATATACATATTTTTGTGTATTTAGTTATATTATTTGGTATATAAAATATAACTTTTTACAAAAACTGGTTAAGCTTTTGGTGTATTTTATTTATCTGAATTAGTTTAGATAATAATTTGAAATTGGTCATATGTGATCTGCTACTTAATCTGGTATATTTGTTTCTATAAATTGGTGGTGAATTAATACTTTGATCAATGTGTTGGTGTATTTTTGGATTAAATGTCAGATTACGTTTGGTACGTCCATTGGTGTAATACATTGTATGATTTAACTGATTCTGTGAATTACCACAAACTGGTTTAGGTATGTGATGTGGTACTTAAGGTGGTATATTTGTTACACCAAAATAATAATCTGATGTATAAGTTGGTGTATTTATTGGTCTAAATATAATAGAATAGTTTCAAAAATACGTATGTTATGATGATTGGGGTATTTGGTGTAATTGATGGTGAAAATTTAGGTGAAAAAATTGATGAAAAACTTTGGAAGCGGTTATGTAACCACCAATTGCAAGAAAGCAACCAGGAAGATCACCAAATAATGATCATAAGAAGAGATTCAATGAAGAAAGATGCAAGAGAAGTAAAGTCATTTGTAATAAATGTGGTACACCCAAGTATAACAAGAAGACTTGTCCCAAATTGTCGGATAAAGCTTATGTTCAGTAGTGTGTTTTTCAATTTTATTTTTAGTTAAAACATGACGTAGTTGAAACTTTTAATTTTATGTTGGCAGATTGAATCCTATGATAAAAACATTCATGTTTGCGTGTTTTTAATATTACTTTACCTTTTTATGCACAAATCTATTTACGTAAATGGTTATGAAATAATTGTAAATTTTAATAATAGAAAACTATGATTTATATAATATTGGTGTTGTATTCAAAAGTTATTATCTATAATATGATATTGATGTAATTGTCGTTGTAAGGTTGGTGTGTAATCATATCCTTTTGATACTATCAGAATTACGGAATCAAATGCATACTGCATGACCCTTTCAAGGTGGGTTTAATTTTAGAGTACGATATTGTTGAAACAAATTGGATCAAAAATTTTAATTAATTTATGATTTGTATTCTTTGAAGTATCCTAATCTTTCTGACATAAACCTTTTCATTCTTAGTCTATATGCTCTCTAGTATTGCTACAACATCTATTTAGCAACTTTCTCATTTGAAAATTTTAAAAGTAAAATCTAACAATGTTAAAATTTAGGTGCACATAATTCAGAGGGAGAATAAGAACAGAAAAGAATGAAGAAGAAAAGGAAGAGAGAAGTTTTTAATTTTTTTTAAAAAATGAATAGCATAGGAAGTAATAATTTCTTGGAAAACTGAAGAGGTGGAAACATAAAAAATATTTAAAAAACTTAGTGATAACCAAAATTAGTGAGATAAATTTAATACATGATAATCACCCCCAAAAATAGGCACAAAAATAATATACTAAAATAAAAATAAATAATAAGAAAATTGAAAATTAATTAGATATGCTATGTGTGTAATTTAGAAACTTCGTTTGTTATTAAATATAAATATGTTAAGTATTGTTAATTAATGTCTTAAGTAGTATACTTTTATAATTTCACGTTAATAAATTAAGTATCCTCTTTTCTGAATATGCAATACGAAACAAATGAGTTTCTATCTCATACTTCGCATTCGGAAAGAGAAATAGTTGAATAGAGTATTGATGACCTCGCAGAAAATCAATTTTTTGATAAATTACATGAAATAGGATGACCTTTACGGTATATAAAATGAAATATTTATCAGATAAACAATCAGCTACATTAACTAAAACTGAATTTACTAGCACATTAAAATATTGGTGGAATAATTATCTCACAGAAGATAAGAGGCAAAGTGTATTAAATATCATAACTATTAACCCAAATATTAAGAATGAATCTTCAGGGCGAACCATGGAGAATCAAATCTTAGAAGATGTCATCACCACCTTAATTTATAATATAACTGAACATTTTATTTGAGAACCTCAACTTTTTCAAGATAGAAGTCTAGAGATATTATCTAATCTATCTTGCTCAAAATTGGACGATTTTAGATGGTATAAATATGTTTTTCTCAACGAAGTTATAATTAGAAAAGATTGTAAGCATGATAATTGAAAAGAAAAATTTTTAGTGGTCTGTCAAAACTGTTCACAGAAAAGGTTAGAATCAAACTAATGGGTTGACTTATGGTGATCTAATAAGTTTTATAAATATTATTGAATTAGAGCTATGTACAAATATGAAACTTAAAAATCAATTGAAAAAAGATAGTACACTTTCAAGAAAAGAATTCGGAGATTTTTATCGAGACTTTGGATATACAGAGTTATTTGTCCCTTCAAATGAAGTTTTTAAAAACGTTAAACATCGTTGTAAAAATTGTAAGAATAAACATGACAAACCCCATTACTACAAAACAAAATCTAGAAATTTTAAATTAGATAATAACAATACTGATACGTGTTGAAACTGTGAAAAATCGGACACCATGCTAGTAATTTTCAGGCCCCTAATATGAAAATAGATAAGATAAATAGGTTAGAACTAGATGATGATATTAAAAATAAATTATATTCAATTCTTGATGAGAATCACACCAGTTCCGAAAAAAGAAATCTAGTGGAGATGACCAACTTAATATAATATATAGTTTTGACAGTAATAGTTTTGCCGTCTGTGAATGTGACAGTGCAGTTTGCACCTGCACCACTCTATCAATGTCATTAGCAGTAATAGTAAAGAAGTTTTCTTTGATATAGTTGAACAAGTCTAAGATCCAGACAATAAAAAAAATACTTAATAGTATTAAATGATATAATTCTTAATCAACAATCCAATAATCATACTATTAAACCTTTTAGTATGGCAAATGTACTAAATAAATTTAGATAATAAAATTCTGAAACAACATTTCAAGATCTTCAAGCTCAATCAGTACATATAAAGAAAGAAATTAAATAAAAACTTGACTCTTTTGAAGAAACACCAACCCAAAACCTAAGTTTACAATGAAAATTAGAACCGTTAGAAATAACTAAAACAATAAAATTAGGAATGAATACTATCGCACTAGTTAAAGCTCATAGCTATCATATACCCATTACATTAGTTATAAATAAAAATTATTCTATCCGAAAGATTACTTTATTAGATACTGGTGCAAATGATAATTGTATCATTGAAGGAATTATCCCTACTAAGTATCTTGAAAAAAGGACTACTCAGTTATTCTTCCCAATAGGAGAAAGACTTAAAATAAATTAAAACTACACAATGGACATATATGTAACGATGAAATTTGTTTCATAAAATTTTTTGTAATAATTAAAGACATAAATGAAGAAATAATATTAGACACTCCCTTTATAAACACAACTAAACTCATATACGACTACAGTAAATGGAATTCACTCCTTTATCTTAAGAAAAGAATAAATTTTTTCATATTTAAATAGTATATCCAAAAAAAAGAAAGTGACTATATATAGGATAAAAATATATTTAGAACAAATCTACTCTCACAACAATTCAATTAGTTAAAAGAAGACATCAAGATAAAAAGAACTGAATCCTCTTTTAAAACTCTGAAGGTAGAAGCTAAAATTAAAAGCATACAAGATGATATAGAACGAGAAGTTTTTTCATACTTTCCTAATGCATTTTTGGTAAGGAAAAAATATATTGTCGAATTACCTTATATTGAGGGATTTGACGAAAAATTATCTCCCCTAAGGCAAGATCAATTAAAATGAATGTTTAATTAATAGAATATTGTAAAAAGGAAATTAATGATTTGCTTGCTAAAAATATTATTAACCGTCCAGGTCACCTTGGAGTTGCTCGGACTTTTATGTTAATAATAGTGTCGAAAAAGACAGAGGTTCCCCAAGGCAAGTTATCAATTATAAGCCTCTTAATAAGATATTAAAATGGATTACGTACCTCATATCTAAAATTATCATTTTCAGAATGTGTTTTCATTAGACTAAGGATAGAATTCTTCGAGGGCCAGGAAAGTGGAGATAGGGTAAAAATCCCAAAGGATATTTCCAAAGAGTATTAAAAAAGAGCACAAACTTGGCTTGGTGTCGAGAATGGAAGAACAGCAAGAGACAGGGCTAATCGTTGGTTTTGTGTACTATATTAATTAGAATTATGATTGATATCCTCGAGGCGCTTTTCCTTAAGAGACTGGATAAGAAAGAGAAATAGCTCGTGGCTGTATATTTTTTATCAAATTGATTCCTAACAGGAACAGGACTGGCAAATGTCAATGTTCATAACACATCAATGCTCTGCTAATAGACCCCCTCCTTTGAACATAGATCCGAACTCCCACTCAGAAAGGTTACTGGACAATGATTTGTTGTCTTTCGAACATCGAATCTCGAGTACAAGCCAAGGAGAAAAACTGCTTTTGGTCACTTCTCTTACTAGTGATACCGAGCTTCCCAAGTTGGGTGTCACTTCCCTCTCTGATCCCACCCATTTCATTCTTCTATTGAGTCGGCTAATTGTAACTATAAGCTACACGCCACGAACTCGTATAATGATTCTTCCTCTAGGGCCACCTTTCACCTTTTGTTAGCGACCTTTAAACGAGTTCCAGCAGTGATTCAAGCCTGACTTTTTTTTTCGTTCAGTCTGACTATTTTCCGAATTTTATATATGAATGAAAGCTACCAACCCGAATGGGAAGAAGAGGGTTAGCAAAACTGCGATCCACTTTGTACGTTTGCTGAGCAGACCCCTCAGGCATTTTAGAAAAGGGAAGGGAACTTCTCACCCTGAGGGAGGCAGGAAGCTATCATTTCTACAAAGGAAGCCTCGCCTTTACTTTTTTCGAGCGTATCGCTATTTTGAAATAAAAAAAAGGTTTATGATTCTTTTTACTTTAATTTAAGTTTAACTCATTAGATTCGGTAATATATTAATTCACATAATATGTTGAATGATTGAGAAGAAAAAAAAGTTATCACACAAGTATATCAGGACAAATATCCATACTGGATTTGTTAAATATTAAAAAGATATCAGAAGCACAATAATTCCTCGATGCTTTTACGAATAGTGGAGCCAGTTTGAGGATAAATAAATATGTATTGTCACGAAAGTTTTTAATACAATTTGAAAAGTTTCATATAGAGAAAAATATCTCTACATTACCAGAATATATTAAACTGTGCAAGTTTTTTTATTTCTAAAAGGATATCTTATATTATCAGTTGGTTCTTTGATATTCATGAATTTGAAAAGGATCAAATATCTGACTAAGACTGTCAAAATTAAAGGATGAACTCCAAAAGATCACGATGATAGGTTAGTTTTCGACTCTTCATCACGAAGGAAATACGAAGTTCCAAAAGAAGAATATAAAAAAAAGGCTCGAAGAAGCCTTATCAATTCTCGATAAAAATACCAATCATGAGAAGTTAATGGAGTTATTAAACACTGAATCCTCACATACCAGTGAAAAAAATAATGAGGATATATATCATCTTCAATAAAGAAAAGAATGTGTCAAGTATATGATAAATATATTACGTCAACAATTAAGCAAACAGGTGGACCCCTAGGAACAAAAATTCATACCAAAGGACCAAACAACAAGATATATGTGTCAGGATGTATTTTTCAGCAAGTATATCTTCAAAAAGGATAGACATGTAGTAAATTCAACAAAAGCTACGTGTAGTGGTTCTACCTACGTGGCATGTATTTCAAGCCACGTATAATTATC